GGTCTTTACCCAAGTAGGTCTTCCCACAAGGAGCCGATACCTACGCTCACACTTCAGTGGTAGGTTTCACTGAAGTACTGTGAGTCTAATTGCACACAGGTGTTAGGCATTAAGAATGATTGCACCCAGCTGAGATCGCCCTCCGGATTAACAAGACAAAAGCTTGGTTTCAGTGTGTGGGACACACACCAAGTTGTTTGAACTCGCTCAGCCGGCCTTCAGATTCTAGTGGATTGCTCAGTAAAAGTGCAAAGAAATAGCACCTCAAGAGTAGGAAAGTATTACCTCACTGCTGCAAACTCTTATTTGCCCCACGATTATCCAACGTAGGTTAAAGTCCTTGACTTTAAACTGATAACTATGACCTGGATGACTGAGAATCTTCACAGACATATTTTTAAATAGCCATAACCTATATGATCCAGCATCCTCTGGTCTGAGTGGCTGCAGTGTTTTCAGTTCGGCTGGTTGTTGACTCCTGAGGTAAATTATTGTTCCAGTAAAGTGGATTAAAGTGGATTCATTTCTAAAATGCGCTGCAGAACAGATTTCCCGTCACTTTTAAGGATGGGGTGCGGTGGATGAAAGCAATTGTAAGGGAACGAGTAACTTGACTATTTACTTTTAATACCCAGTAATAGGTCAAGTAATATTGTTACTTTTTAAATGACGTAAAAAGTAAGTCATTACAATACAAATAATTTGCCCAACACTGCAGCTAAATATGCCATGTAAACTGATGTGCCGCGAAGACAGAATGCTGCTTTCTGCCCCCCGGTTTCGCGTGCATCTCTTGATGACATTGCACAGAAACCCATCTATAGTGCTTAGCGATTAGCACTTAGCCAGCGATCTTTTAAGATTATCACAATCAGAATCAGAAGGAGCTTTATTGCCAAGTAGTGTTTTACACATACGAGGAAGTTGCTTTGGTCATAAGGTGCTACAAGTAGACAAAAACAGTTGACATAAATAAATGTAGAAATATATAAATATGGAATGGGCATATTGTGTAGATAAATATATAAATTGACAATGTAAAAATATACAACAACAAAGATTAACAACAAATGTGTGCAATGTGCCAGGTTTGTGCAAGATATGAGATCAAACAGTTTTTACATGTGCAGAGACATTTGTGTAATTTGCAAGGGAGGAGTGTCAGTAGGGGACCCAGGCCTTCTTGATGAGGGAGGTGATGTTCAGCTCCCACTTGAGGTCCTGGGAGATGTGGCGACTGGGGTGTCACACAGGATGATGGTGGAGGGTGGGGCTGCGCTCTTTCTAAAATCCACTGCCATCTCCACTGTCTTCTGAGCGTTGAGCTCCAGACTGTTCTGGATGCACCAGGTCACCAGATGGTCGATCTCCCACCTGTAGGTGGACTCATCCCCACCAGAGATGAGCCCAATGAGGGTGGTGTCATCCGCAAACTTCAGGAGCTTGACAGACTGGTGACTGGAGGTGCAGCTGTTGGTGTACAGGGAGAAGAGAAGGGGGGAAAGAACGCAGCCTTGAGGGGAACCGGTGCTGATGGTCCTGGAGTCAGAGACATGTTTTCCCAGCTTCACGTGCTGGGAAAACATGCAGGTGGAAGTCAGTGATCCACCTGCAGGTGTAGTCAGGCACGTTCAGCCGGGAGAGCTTGTCCTGCAGCAGGGCCGGGATGATGGTGTTGAAAGCAGAGCTGAAATCCACAAACAGGATCCTGGTGTAGGTTCCTGGGGAGTCCAGGTGCTGGAGGATGTAGTGAAGGGCCATGTTTACTGCATCATCTAGAGACCTGTTGACTCTGTAGGCGAACTGCAGGGGGTCCAGGAGTGGGTCTGTAATGGATTTAAGGTGGGACAACACAAGGCGTTCAAAGGACTTCATAACCACAGAGGTCAGGGCGACGGGTCTGTAGTCGTTTAGTCCAGTGGTCCTTGGTTTCTTGGGGACAGGGATGATGGTGGAGGCTTTGAAGCAGGCTAGCACATGACATGTCTCCAGTGAGGTGTTAAAAATGTATGTGAACACCGGAGACAGCTGATCAGCACAGTGCTTCAGGGTGGATGGGGAGACAGAGTCCGGCCCAGCTGCTTTGCAGGGTTTTTGCCTCTTGAACAGTCTGTTGACTTCCTCCTCTGAGATGGTGAGAGGAGGGGCGGGGCTGAGGCTATAAATACAATGATACAATATGCACAAAAATACATTGTAAACATCAACTGCGGTGGTGGCTGGTGGGAACGCTAGCAGTGTAGGCCTATATCATATTTGTATTGACAGTAAGGCATGGCAAGGCAAGTTTTGTTTTTTTTGTATAGCACTGTAGCATGACTACTTTGATCTAATACATTTATGAGAATTAATACCAAATTATGAATTTTCATAAAGATGATATTTAGCAGCTATTTACATGTGCAATATGCCAGGTTTGTGCATGATATGAAATTAGATTAAATAGTATTTAAATGTGCGGAGAAATTTGTATTTTGATAGCCGGAAGTATCCGTTGTTAATGAGGCTAGCTGCAGACGGGAAGAAGCTTTTTTTGTGGTGAGAGGTTTTGGTCCTGATGGACCGCAGCGTCCTGCCAGAGGGGAGAGTCTGAAACAGTTTGTGTCCAGGTTGGGAGGGATCAACTGTAATCTTTCCTGCTCACCTCAGATTCCTGGAGGCGTCAGAGTTTGGCTGTGAATCAGGGTTTGTCATTGTTATAACTCACTCTGGTGCGTGTTGGTATAAAGCTATCTTTACAGAAGCTGATGTAGGACGTCACAGCCTCTGTATGCTCAGATTGTAAGGAGCAGCCCTGAAAACATCCCAGTCAGTGCAGTCCAAGCACACCTGAAGATCCTATACAGCTTCACTGGTCCACTTCTTTGATGTCCTCACCAGAGCTTTAATTTCAGCCTGTGAGAAGGAATCAGATGGACCATCACGTGATCAGAGTGTCCCAGTGGAGCGCGTGTGATGGTGTGATAGGCACTGCTAACTGTGGTGTAGCAGTAATCCAAAGTGTTCCCTCTCTGGGTGGACACTTTATAAACTGTCTGTATTTGGGGAGTTCTTGGCTGAGATTTCCCCTGTTAAAGTCACCGAGAACAATAACAAGGGAGCCCGGGTTTGTCTGCTCCACACACAGTATCCGGCATGCGCTGTGCGTCCTGCACGTTGGCCTGCGGCGGAATGTAAACACCGACCAGAGTGAATGAAGCAAACTCACGGGGGGAGTAAAACGGTTTACAGTTAATGATAAAATATTCCAGATCAGGAAAACAATGCTGCTCAATCACTGTCACGTCAGTACACCAGCCATTGTTAATATAAAGCCATTGTTAATATAAAAACACAGACACCTCCAACTTTTGTTTTCCCTGGAAAGCGAGTCCGGAAAAAAGTTATGAAATTAATTAAATTAAAATACAGTTAAAAAAATATTAAAATCAACTGAAATCAGGAAAGGCTGTTCTTTGTATGTTTTAAGAAGAGCAGCCCTGATTTCCTCAGATAGCCTGTTCCAGAGCCTTGGAGCCTGCAAACGCTCTATCCCCTTTTGTTTTCAGGCGAGACTCTGGAACAGAAGAAGATAGTCTCAATGTCCTTAAAAGTTAACATTGATTGTATTTTTGATATATTTCTAAGCTGGAAAAAAATAATTGCAGAAGCTATGTGGTGTGCTAATCGAAACTTAAATTCCTCTCAAACCAAATGCCAAGATTCTTTGCAACCAGCCTGATATGATCCACGAGGGAACCAGCAGATGGTAGGATTTGATGAAAACCAGAGAGAGAAGGAGAGAAAGAGGGCAGGAGAGGAACAGAGAAAAAAAGAGGGATGGAAGGAGAGAGAGAGGGGAGGGAGGCAGCCTACACAATATACACACAGAGGTACAGACATAAAGGTGATGTTGCTATAGACTGAATGAAAAATGGTACAGATATTTATAGCAGTGTTAATGATAACAATCGTAATGTTAATGATTATAATAACAATAATAGCAATAAGACTAGCAACAATAGTCGTTGCAGCAGAGGGTGTCGAGCAGGAACACGGGGGCAGCAGGTGACCCGCAACCACAGATCCAGACTCCACAGCTCCAGAGCCAGAAACACCTGCAGGAAGTGATAGGAGGAGAGAGGAGAGAGACGAGAAAGCACAAGACTACCAGAAAGGGGAGAAGTTGTGTTAGTAACATGCAATAATGGGATGAGGTTGCATACAGAGGGAGAGAAAGTAGAGGAGAGAGGAGCTCAGTGCATCATGGGAAATCCCCCGGCAGTCTAGGCCTATAGCAGCATAACTAAGGGATGGTTCAGGACTCACCTGAGCCAGCCCTAACTATAAGCTTTATCAAAGAGGAAAGTCTTAAGCCTACTCTTAAATGTGGAGATGGTGTCTGCCTCCTGAACCCAAACTGGAACCTGGTTCCACAGGAGAGGAGCTTGATAGCTGAACGCTCTGGCTCCTAGTCTACTTTTGGAGACTCTAGGAACCACAAGTAACCCTGCATTCTGGGAGCGCAGTGCTCTGGTGGGGTAGTAAGGTACTATGAGCTCTTTAAGATAAGATGGTGCCTGACCATTAAGAGCTTTGTAGGTAAGAAGAATGATTTTAAATTCTATTCTGGATTTTACTGGAAGCCAATGCAAAGAAGCTAAAACAGGAGAAATGTGATCTCTTTTCCTGGTTCCTGTCAGAACAGGTGCTGCAGCATTCTGGATCAGCTGAAGAGTCTTAATGGACTTTTTCAAGCAGCCTGATAATAAGGAATTGCAGTAATCCAGCCTAGAAGTAACAAATGCATGGACTAGTTTTTCTGCATCATTTTTAGACAGGATGTTCCTGATTTTCACAATATTATGTAGGTGAAAAAGGTGGTCCTTGAAATTTGCTTAATGTGAGACTTAAACGACATGTCCTGATCAAAGATAACTCCAAGATTCCTCACAGTGGTGCTGGAGGCCAAGGCGATGACATCAAGGGATTTTTATCTCCATGATTTATTCTTTATTCAGATTGGAGAGCTGCAGTTTGTCAGAGATCAGCTGTGCTTCTCTGGCCTCAGCTCTGAAGTCCAACCCCTCCCATCTGAGAGAGCTGGAGCTGAACTACAACGAGCTGCAGGATTCAGGTGTGAAGCTGCTGTGTGGTTTTCTGGAGGATCCACGCTGCAGACTGGAGACTCTGAGGTCAGTTCACTGACTCTCTGTTACTACAGTAGATCTGATATGTTTAATTAACAATTGAACCTAATTTCTGTTCAGACATAACTTCCATCCATAAAGTTGTAAATATAAATATTTGTAAATATTTTCACGTTTCTTGTACTAAATTTAGTCTGCAGTCACAAAGACTTGTGTTTCTTAAAGAAACTGTAGAAAATGTCTGTTGTCAGTTGTTAAAGTAAATTAATGTTTGTAATTTTTGGTAAATGGTCACATCTGTATACAGAAGATCCTCTGAACTAATGTTTTAAACTGATCAAGTTTACTTGTTGAGGTAGCAATATTTCTTTGCTTTCTGTTGGTTTCAATGTGTTTTCACAAATAATGTTGGATCATTGATATTGATCCTTCAGAACACACACACACACACACACACACACACACACACACACACACACACACACACAGACTGGCCTGAGATCAGCAGCATGTTATTGATCTGTGTTGACATGAATAGGTGTATGAATGTTGTGCTGACATTTGGATGATGTCTGTAGAAGGCTGACATTATGATGATCCACAATAACACAATGACAAAGTCCCTCTACTCATTTTAGAGAAAAGCTCATTGATTAGGACATAGTAATGTTGAGCTCCACATTTAAAACCTGAACACATCTGATTGGATTAGAAATGGATTTTTATCTCCATCATTTATTCTTTATTCAGATTGAGGGGCTGCACTTTGTCAGAGATCAGCTGTGATTCTCTGACCTCAGCTCTGAAGTCCAACTCCTCCCATCTGAGAGAGCTGGACCTGAGTGACAACTACAAGCTGCAGGATTCAGGAGTGAAGCTGCTGTGTGGTTTTCTGGAGGATCCACACTGCAGACTGGAGACTCTGAGGTCAGACACCATTTTTTCCTTCTGTGCTGAGATTAATATGATGTGAAAGTTGTGGTGACACTTAAGTGCAGACATAAGGCTGATATTATACTGATCCACACTGAGGATCTTAAAGAGGTGGTATTATGGTTTTTGGCATTTTCCCTCTCCTTTATTGACTTAAATATTTTTTTTGTGCGTGTACTAGGTTTGCAAAGTGAAAAAGCCCGAAGTCCACCCCAAGGGAGTTTCCATCTCCCACAGAAAACTCTGCTCTGCCTGAAAACAGCTTGTTTGTAGTACAGCCTTTACTTCCCTTTCTTGTGATGTCACAATGAAAGTACGTGTCATAATGCGTGCTGAGCGACTAGTCCGACACGCCCTCAAAAACACCGGTGGAAAAACACTGAGCTGCAGCACACAGCTCTCCTCTCCCTTCCAAACACTAGCTACCCTCCAGGCAGTCAGTGGACATAAAGTTGTTCCTGTGATGTAGAGACAGAGCTCAGTTAAAACTTTATGGATGAAAGATACTTTTTTTACAGATTAATAACTCACCACTCTGAAACTCTTGCTCCAGTCCATGTTGCCAAGCTGGTCAGCAACATGTACAGCTGAATCGAAGCTGTTTACCGTCTTTTCGCTGACCCGCCCTTCTCTGCCTCTGATTGGCTAGTAGTCCTTAACTAGGAACTGCGCATGTGCAACTCCCAACAAAGATCATTTACAGACAAAATGTATCACTCCGTAGCTAAAACGAAGCCTTCAACACACAGGGTGAAAAGAGGAGCTGCAGCAATGTGCAGTATGACAAAAAATATGGTGTTTTTTTCAAAATGAAACCATGTAAACCTGTTCTGGTACAACCCCTAAATAGGATTTTGAACCTGAAAATGAGCATAATACCACCTCTTTAATGCTAAAGTCTATTTTCTTCTTCAGTGGTTTAGTCCATTGACAGTCAGAGCTATAACAAGAAACATCTCTCTAGGATAATTCACTCTGAAACTCTTAAACTCCTGATTTTCCACTTCTATTCCAAATCATGTTTTTAAATAAATGATAATAAAACTACATAAATACAATGAAGAAATATATAATCTCTATGTCAACTATCAGACAATAATATATTCAGTATTTGTTTTTCCAACATTGTTATGAAGCTATATGATGCTTATACTGACTGACTAGTTTAAAGTGAAGAAGCTTAAATTTGACGACTCCACTATTCCTAAAATAAATATTGTAGATGTCTTATGTTCACATTTCCCCAAAGTTCATCCTGACATATTTGGCATCTTTGGAAATTTTAGGATCTTGAGTGGAATCTTAAATCAGTTTCTGTGGGTTTTTCTTTGTGTTTGGCTGCACAACATGGGTTTGTATAGATGGAGCCACTGGTGGAGCTGCAGAATTTAAGAGGTGAAGGAGCTCTTTTAACCTTGTTATGTCCCCGCTTGCTATGGGTAGGGGAGACATAAAAATAAACCAGTTGTTTTTGGTATGGGTGGAAAGATTATTTATTAAACAGAGGTGACAACAAAAGTCAAACAAAAATTGGGCAAGTGGGTGCTGAGTAAAACTAAGAACAAAATATAACCAAAAGAGATCCTCCTAAATGAGGGATTACTAAACTACCACTAAAAAGAATAAACAAAAACCTCTCTAGTCGTCGTTGAAAACAGAAACACAGGGAGCGCAGCACCCCTAAACCTAGTGTAACTAAAACAGAAGAAATTACTAACAGGTGTAAACAATATCAGTAATAAGCTTCACCCTGGCCCTATTCTGCAGACCAACACTTAGTTCAAAACAGGATGTGTTACCGACTCTCAGTAACGCACTGACACAACTAACAAGGAAATGGTTTCCACTAAGGACGCGCACGCACACACAGGGTTCAGTATAATGACCAGCACGGAGGTAAACTACATGGGGAATGCCTCGACACAGCAGCAGACCAACCTATTTAAACCGGAGGAAGCTTGAAGGCGGTCTTGCAGGCAGCCCAGGGATTGGAGGAGGATTGTTGCGCCGCTCCAATCGGGGACCTCTGATGTGGGAGCAGCCAGAACTTCCTCAAAAAACAGCCAATCCCCCGCTGGAAATCTCACTGCGTCATTACCATGTAGGGAAAAACACAGCAGCAACAGTGACATACACAGACGGCTGCCCTAGGTAGCCGTAAAAACCTTTTTGTATTTTACAGTTTGAACCTGCATCCTGTTGGGTTCAGGTGTTTGGAGTTTCCATTTTCTAAACTTCTACATTCTTCTAATGTTACATCATTTATTCTTTATTCAGATTGAGGTGGTGCAGTTTGTCAGAGATCAGTTGTGCTTCTCTGGCCTCAGCTCTGAAGTCCAACCCCTCCAATCTGAGAGAGCTGGACCTGAGTAACAACTACCTGCAGGATTCAGGTGTGAAGCTGCTGTGTGGTTTTCTGGAGGATCCACACTGCAGACTGGAGACTCTGAGGTCCGTTCATTGACTCTCTGTTACTATCGTAGATCTGATCATTCATTGATATTGATCCTTCAGAACACACACACACACACACACACACACACACACACACACACACACACACACACACACACACATACATACAGATCCGATCATATTTCCCAATCCAGCTGTTTAAAGGATCAATACAGTTTTTCTCCTCTAGTTCCAGACTGGTGTGAGATCAGCAGCATGTTATTGATCTGTGTTGACATGAATAGGTGTATGAATGTTGTGCTGACATTTGGATGATGTCTGTAGAAGGCTGACATTATGATGATCCACAATAACACAATGACAAAGTCCCTCTACTCATTTTAGGGAAAAGCTCATTGATTAGGACATAGTAATGTTGAGCTCCACATTTAAAACCTGAACACATCTGATTGGATTAGAAATGGATTTTTATCTCCATCATTTATTCTTTATTCAGATTGAGGCGCTGCAGTTTGTCAGAGATCAGCTGTGCTTCTCTGGCCTCAGCTCTGAAGTCCAACCCCTCCCATCTGAGAGAGCTGGACCTGAGTGACAAAAAGCTGCAGGATTCAGGAGTGAAGCAGCTGTCTGATCTGAAGGAGAGTCCACACTGCAGACTGGAGATTCTGAGGTCAGTAGAGGGTCCAATTAAATTCAATTTTATTTATATAGCACCAAATCACAAAAACAGTAATCTCATAGCGCTTTTCATAAAAGAGCAGGTCTAGACCGTACTCTATGAGGGGGGGCAAGTGAGGAACAGAGAGAAAGAGAGAGAGGGGAGTGAGGCAGTCTACACAGTATACACACAGAGGTACAGACAGTAAAGGTAATGTTGCTATAGACTGAATGAAAAATGGTACAGATATTTATAATAGTGTTAATGATAACAATCGTAATGTTAATGATTATAATAACAATAATAACAATAAGACTAGCAACAATAGTCGTTGCAGCAGAGGGTGTCGAGCAGGAACACGGGGGCAGCAGGTGACCCGCAACCACAGATCCAGACTCCACAGCTCCAGAGCCAGAAACACCTGCAGGAAGTGATAGGAGAGAGGAGAGAGACGAGAAAGCACAAGACTACCAGAAAGGGGAGAAGTTGTGTTAGTAACATGCAATAATGGGATAAGGTTGCATACAGAGGGAGAGAAAGTAGAGGAGAGAGAGCTCAGTGCATCATGGGAAATCCCCCGGCAGTCTAGGCCTATAGCAGCATAACTAAGGGATGGTTCAGGACTCACCTGAGCCAGCCCTAACTATAAGCTTTATCAAAGAGGAAAGTCTTAAGCCTACTCTTAAATGTGGAGATGGTGTCTGCCTCCTGAACCCAAACTGGAACCTGGTTCCACAGGAGAGGAGCTTGCTAGCTGAACGCTCTGGATCCTAGTCTACTTTTGGAGACTCTAGGAACCACAAGTAACCTTGCATTCTGGGAGCGCAGTGCTCTGGTGGGGTAGTAAGGTACTATGAGCTCTTTAAGATAAGATGGTGCCTGACCATTAAGAGCTTTGTAGGTAAGAAGAATGATTTTAAATTCTATTCTGGATTTTACTGGAAGCCATTGCAAATGCAGCCTGGTTCCTGTCAGAACACGTGCTGCAGCATTCTGGATCAGCTGAAGAGTCTTAATGGACTTTTTCGAGCAGCCTGATAATAAGGAATTGCAGTAATCCAGCCTAGAAGTAACAAATGCATGGACTAGTTTTTCTGCATCATTTTTAGACAGGATGTTCCTGATTTCAATATTACGTAGGTGAAAAAAGGTGGTCCTTGAAATTTGCTTAATGTGAGACTTAAATGACATGTCCTGATCAAAGATAACTCCAAGATTCCTCACAGTGGTGCTGGAGGCCAGGCGATGCCATCAAGGGAAACTATATCTTTAGATAATGCGTCACGGAGGTGCTTAGGCCCCAGAAGCAATAACTTTTTTCAGAAGAGGTTAATTACAGCTACTTTAAAGTACTGTGGTACATAGCCTGTTGATAGAGATAGATTGATCATATCTAGTATAGAGGTGCTTACTAAGGGTAAAACATCTTTAAGCAACCTAGTCGGGATGGGGTCTAAGAGGCAGGTTGATGGTTTAGATGAAGAAATTATTGAAGTTAGTTGGTAAAGATTGAGGGAAGCAAAACAGTCTAAACATGTATCTGGTTCTACAGCTGTTTCTAAGGTTCCTGAGTTAAGAGATAAGTTGGTGCCAATTGAGGGCAGGTCTTGGTGAATTTTGTTCTAATAGCTAGAATTTTATATTAAAGAAGCTCATGAATCGTAACTACTGAGAGCTATGGGAATACTTGGCTCAATAGAGCTGTGACTCTCTGTCAGCCTGGCTACAGTGCTGAAAAGAAACCTGGGGTTGTTCCTATTTCCTCTATTAATGACGAGTAGTACGCTGCTCTGGCATTACGAGGGCCTTCCTATAAGTTTTAAGACTATCTTGCCAAATTAAACGAGAATTTTCCAGTTTGGTGGAACGCCAATTCCTCTCAAGTTTCCGCGATATTTGCTTTAATTTGCGAGTTTCAGTGTTATACCATGGAGCTAACCGTCTTTGTTTTAGTATTTTCTTTTTTAGAGGGGCTACAGAGTCGAGTGTCATTCGCAGCGAGCCTGCAGCACTATCAACAAGATGATCGATTGGGAGGGACTGAAATAGCATAGGAGTCCTCCGTTACTTTGTGACTGATAATGTATTTAGAGCTGATGGAATCGCATCCTTAAATTTAGCTACAGCACTATCAGACAGACATCTTATAGAAATTTTTGCCCAATGGCGTGTAGTTCAGCAATACAAAAGTTATCAAACAGTGGTGGACAAAGAGGGATTCTGTGGGAACACTATTATTCGATTTCAATACCATACACCAAAACAAGGTCGAGGGTGTGGTTAAAACAGTGAGTCGGTTCATGAACACTCTGAGAGAAGCCGATGGAATCTAACAGAGAGATAAACGCAGTACTGAAGCTGTCATTCTCAACATCCACATGAATAAAATCCCTACAATAATAACTTTGTCCGTTTTAAGGACTAAAGTTGACAAAAACTCTGCAAATTAGATAAGAATTCAGATACGGGCCAGGTGCTCGGTACACTATAACGAAGAGAATTGGTTGCAGTGATTTCCAACTTGGGTGCGAAAGACTAAGAACAAGACTTTCAAATGAGTTATAGTTTAGTTTAGGTTTAGAGCTGATTAATAGGCTAGAGTCGAAGATAGCTGCAACTCCACCTCCTCGGCCTGTGCCTCGAGGAATGAGAGTTAATATGACTGGGAGGGGTGGATTCATTTAGGCTAACATATTCTCCATCACCCAGCCAGGTTTCAGTAAGACCAAATAAATCAATATCATAATCTGATATTAGTTCATTTACTAGTACACCTTTAGAAGAGAGAGATCTGATGTTTAAGAGTCCACATTTAACTCTCCTATTCGTTTGCACTATTGCTCTTGTGGTTTTAATTTTTATGAGGTTTTTATGCACAGTCCTCTTCTGTTTACCTTTTTAAATAATTTCGATGGTGGGGGGCAGACACCGTCACTATAGGGTTTTCACTAAGTAACTCCTGAAATGGAGGAGCAGAGAAGTGTGTTAGACTGCGACTCTGCGTAGGGTTTTGGGTGGGTAACTGCTGAAATGAAACAGTCCATGCTGGTTTCAGCAGTATTGTACTAAACACCGTTAGTATCAAAGCAGAGATCCAGTATTTCCTGTAAACCTCCAACCTTCTCAGCGGCTGCTTTCCTCAGTGAAGCTGTGAGAGGAGAATGGTGACAGGCTTCAGGATTGGACAGAAAGACAGACAGAGAGAGAGAACAGGCTGTGATCATGTGTTTGAGTTGATGTGAAGACGACTGTTGTTGTTGTGTTCATGTCTCCAGGAAATAAAGCTGGATTCCAGCTGACAGCATCACAAGATGTATAGAGACAGTGGTCCTCATTCATCAAACTGTCGGACCATCAAATCTGATCTCAAAGTGTTTGTTCTCTCTTAGTAGTATACAAGTACGGAGCATTTACATTTACATTCTTTCTACAGAGCAGAACCTCTGCTGAGTAAGCACAGCTGATGTTTAGCTGTTGTAGGACCTTTAACATCATATATATATATCTGTCCATGTGTCTTTAGTTTGGTCCAGATGTTTTTAGAACAGACTCCATATTTACAGATTTGTCCTGTAATATTTCCAAAGTAGCTGAAATCTTCAAATGTGACTGAGCGGCTGGTTTTTAACAGCAGTAAATCCATCATTCCAGTGAGCAGTGAATATCTCTCTGTCTCTGCAGTCATGATGCGTTCAGGGACTCTCAGCACTTTATTTCCACTGTGGACTTGAGTGAAACCTGCAGAGTAAACAGAGCTGATGGCCAAAGTCTCTGCAGGTCTCAGTGTGTTCACTCCAATACGTTAACATGAGAGCTGAAAGGAAGCTGGCTACGCTACACAGCCGCTCCACTTCTGGTCTGAACAGGACTGAAGTCCCTGCTGGTCTTTATACTGGATGTGCTGCATCACTGACTGACAGCTGATGAAGGGAGTCTCTGTAAACTCTGATTTATGACTTCTGCTCTCTGTCTTCTTCTCTCATCAGATGGAATCCAGTTAGGTAAACATGAGAAAGGTGGAGGTGTTCAGAGAGGATCTGCTGTGTCCTGATGATCCAGAGAGGTTGAAGCAGCAGCATCAGCTTGTGTGTGGAGAGGCTCTGACTGGGCCATGTTACTGGGAGGTAGAGTGGAGAGGAGAGCTTCATCCAGCAGTGACTGACAGAGGAATCCCAACAGTGCTGCAGTCTGAACTGCTCTGAGATCAGCTCCACTGTCAGACACAAAGTCAAGTCCACCATCTCCCTGTGTGTTCCTCTGGATGTGACAGAGGATCATCAGTGGATCTGGACTGCTCTGCTGCTGCTCTGTCCTTCTACACAGTCTCTGCAGACACACTGAGACTCCTCCACTCCTTCTGCTGCACATCAGACCCTCTCACTGACCTCCACCTGGACCTCCACCTGGACCTCCACCTGGACCTAGACCTGATTTTTGTATTTTTTCATTTATTTGGATATACTTAAACTGTTAATGTTCACATTAAATTGTATCTAGAAAACAGAATCATCTATTTTTGCTATGCAAATGCTCCATATTTGTATAGCGCCTTCCTAGTCTTTTTCGACCACTCAAAGCGCTTTTACACTACCTCGCATTCATCATTCACCCACAAACTGAGCCTAAATGCTCAGAAACTAATATTCACACACATTCATACAGTGGCAGAACAGTCGCAAGTGGCAATTTTGGGTTCAGTATCTTACCCAAGGACACTTCGACATGGAACCTGGAGAATTATTAATTAATTTCACACTTTCTCTTGAGAAAAAATGATTTGTTATATGTGGCCTATCTAGGCCTACTTAGGATACTGCAGATGGGACTACGACATTTTTAGATTACAACTGTTAACTCCAAATGTGACGACCATGGAACGACTACAAGTGCCTTATCTTGAGAGCGAATAACTCATTAATCAACAGCCATTATTTAGCCAATAAGAACTCAGTATTCAGCTAGGTCATGGTATAACTAAAAAGAATGAAAGAAATAATGTAGACGTTTAGTTTGTACTTACCCATTATTGTTTCACATGTGAAGTGTATCATATTGTAAAGTATAACCATAAAGCTCGTGAAAAATTATCCCCCAGTATGGCGGTAGCTTCTGGCTGTTTAATGTATTCATAAACTACATGTGTGTCCAAGCAGGCGCACACTAAGGATGAAGTGGATATGACTCATTTATGTCAGTTATTAATGGGGTCATTACAGATGCTTTCTAACTTTATAAAATCTTGATCATTTTGGTCACTATAAATTTGATATGAAACTTTCATCTTGTTCAGTAGTATTTACTTTCTTCATGTTTTAAGTTACAGGATAAAGTTACTAGATATTGAAATATAAGCCGCTTTTGTTTAAACCACTTTATATGCCATTTTTATAGTAATAATGTTTTAAAGGTTTTTAAGGTTTATTATGCTTTAAGAGACACTATATATTGGGTTTAAATATGTTTTAAGGTTTAAGTCACTCTCTCTGTATGATGATTGTTGGGCTTCTGTAAATAGCATCACAGAGTCGTCTAGACCTGCTCTTTTATGAAAAGCGCGGTGAGATAACTGTTGTTGTGATTTGGCGCTATATAAATAAAATTGAATTGAATGAATGATTTCTTCTCTGTACAATGGCAATGATTATTTCTGCTTGCGAGCCTCTTATAATGAGCCCACACTGCTTAGTGCCTCTGAAGTAGATAAGAGCCCAAGTGCAGGTACTTTCAGCTGTAGGCAGCATGAGTGTAAAGGTGTATTAGTGTCAGCAGAAACATAAATGAAGTAGACGGTAGCGTCAGTTTGAGCCAGTTGAGCTGGAAAGTCTGAAGACACCACTGTGGGAAAACCACCTAAATTCTGGAGGTTAAAGGGCACCGCCTAAAGTAGGAGGAGACTGAGATATAAAGAATTCACAAGCTGATCCTTTAGTTTCGTCTTGAGTCTGCCAATATGTAGCTCCGTTTTTGTCTCGTTAAGAATAAAAGCTCTTGTACGATTCATGACTGTCTCCAGTGAGTTTATTTGACTCCAAGTTGTTACAAATATGTTTTATAATGGTGGAGAAACTTTTTCTTCATCAATCTTTAGCACACACATAAAATCTGTACCTGCTATCTGTATGAATGTAATGCTAAAGTGTTATTTCAGATGGAAGAAGTCAGGTAATATTTCATCAAATGAAATGTATTAACAGTTCAGAGTACAGTCTCCATGTAAATGGGGTAACCACAAAGATAACCTGTTCTGAGCAGTTTAGATGTGTGGTAAAATTGCCATTAAAGCAGACCTTAGGTGAAACCTATCTACCTTTGTAGTACAGGTTAATCAGTAAGTTCCACCCGACACCACAAATTACCGGGATTAGTCAGTTACTTCACTTCGTAGTCCTGTGGCCTCTGTGGTACACAGTTAAAGGAATAATGTGGTTGTGTCTCTATTAGTTTCCTTGTGTAATGGCACCACCAAGGGTAAAAGTGTGATGGTATATAATCCTGTTTACATTTTAAAACTAACAACAGATTGTCAATGACTTCAGGGTATTAACTATACTCCATTTGAGAATATCCCAAACAACCTTGCCAGGATGAGATATTTAGAAAATCTGAGTAAATTATGCATAACTGAGGCTGTTCAGTTTTCTTTCAGACCAACTTGATGGATTTTGTACTAACTTTGAAATTACATTAAATCTATCTTGAATTAAACTGTTCCGCGGTCGCCACATCCTTGTCAGAACTGACAATACGGCAGTGGTGGCCTATTTGAATCACCAGGGGGGTCTGCGCTCGCGCCCGTAATGCAAGCTGGCACATCAGATCCTCCTGTGGTTCCAGCAGAGACTGCTGTCCCTCAGAGCGATGTACGTCCCTGGGACCCAGAATCAGGGAGCAGACCTGCTGTCGAGACAGGGGCAGAGGCCCGGGTAATGGAGACTCCACCCCGAGGTGGTGGAGTTATTATACAAAGAGACGTGGACTTGTGTCCCATGTGGTTCTCCCTCTCGTTCCCATAGTGTTGCCACCGATGCAGTTCGAGTTCCCTCGAAGGGGAACGTCTCGGGTTACGTATGTAACCCTTGTTCACTGAGAAGGGGAACAAGACACTGCGTCGGTCCGCCACACCTCACCCCGCCTGGAGTGCCTTGCTTCATAGAAAAGGGCTAATGTGTCCTGTGTGCCAGCGTGCTTATATACCCCCTCCGGTTACGCCTCACACACTACTGTTCTGGCAACACCAATAGGATTGGAGTAGTTTCATTCATAGTTCAGCCCTGCACCCCAGGGGCGTTCCCATAGTGTCGTCACAGACGCAGTGTCTCGTTCCCTTGAAGGGGAACTAGCCTACAGTATTAAGAAGCAGTTCAAATGAGCTCCACCTCCTCCAACTACAGCATTAAAGTACCTCCTGCATTATAATGATCAATAAGAATGATCCAATAACATAATAACACTGCAGAGTGAGTACTTTTACTCTGAATCACTTCAATCCTTCTGTACTTTAACTGAAGAGTATTTGTGATACTTGTACTTGAGAGATTGATCTGAATACTTCATGATAAATGAGGCGCTTGATGACAGTTTGGATGTGTTGCTGAATTAAACAGTGACAAACTTATATAACGAGTCCTGTCAGTTGCGCTATTCTTACATACAGTGGGTACGGAAAGTATTCAGACCCCTTTAAATTTTTCACTCTTTGTTTCATTGCAGCCATTTTCCAAAAATCAAAAAAGTTCATTTTATTTCTCAGTAATGTACACTCAGCACCCCATCTTGACAGAAAAAAACAGAAATGTAGAAATTTTTGCAAATGTATTAAAAAAGAAAAACTGAAATATCACATGGTCATAAGTATTCAGACCCTTTGCTCAGTATTTAGTAGAAGCACCCTTTTGATCTAATACAGCCATGAGTCGTTTGGGAAAGATGCAACAAGTTTTTCACATCTGGATTTGGGTATCCTCTGCCATTCCTCCTTGCAGATCCTCTCCAGTTCTGTCAGGTTGGATGGTAAACGTTGGTGGACAGCCATTTTCAGGTCTCTCCAGAGATGCTCAATTGGGTTTAAGTCAGGGCTCTGGCTGGGCCATTCAAGAACAGCCACGGAGTTGTTGTGAAGCCACTCCTTCGTTATTTTAGCGGCTTAGGGTCATTGTCTTGTTGGAAGGTAAACCTTCGGCCCAGTCTGAGGTCCAGAGCGCTCTGGAAAAGGTTTTCGTCCAGGATATCCCTGTACTTGGCCGCATTCATCTTTCCCTCGATTGCAACCGTCGTCCTGTCCCTGCAGCTGAAAACACCCCCACAGCATGATGCTGCCACCACCATGCTTCACTGTTGAGACTGTATTGGACAGGTGATGAGCAGTGCCTGGTTTTCTCCACACATACCGCTTAGAATTAAGGCCAAAAAGTTCTATCTTGGTCTCATCAGACCAGAGGATCTTATTTATCACCATCTTGGAGTCCTTCAGGTGTTTTTTAGCAAACTCCATGCGGGCTTTCATGTGTCTTGCACTGAGGAGAGGCTTCCGTCGGGCCACTCTGCCATAAAGCCCCGACTGGTGGATTGCTGCAGTGATGGTTGACTTACTACAACTTTCTCCCATCTCCCGACTGCATCTCTGGAGCTCAGCCACAGTGACCTTTGGGTTCTTCTTTACCTCTCTCACCGAGGCTCTTCTCCCCCGATAGCTCAGTTTGGCCGGACGGCCAGCTCTAGGAAGGGTTCTGGTCGTCCCAAACGTCTTCCATTTGAGGATTATGGAGGCCACTGTGCTCTTAGGAACCTTAAGTGCAGCAGAAACTTTTTTGTAACCTTGGCCAGATCTGTGCCTTGCCACAATTCTGTCTCTGAGCTCTTCAGGCAGTTCCTTTGACCTCATGATTCTCATTTGCTCTGACATGCACTGTGAGCTGTAAGGTCTTATATAGACAGGTGTGTGGCTTTCCTAATCAAGTCCAATCAGTATAATCAAACACAGCTGGACTCAAATGAAGGTGTAGAACCATCTCAAGGATGATCAGAAGAAATAGACAGCACCTGAGTTAAATATGAGTGTCACGGCAAAGGGTCTGAATACTTATGACCATGTGATATTTCAGTTTTTCTTTTTTAATAAATTTGCAAAAATTTCTGCATTTCTGTTTTTTTCTGTCAAGATGGGATGCTGAGTG